ACTCCCGTGGGATATATCGATCGGCACACCACCGTCTCTCGATCTCTGCCACAGGATCAGACCACAATGAAGGACCGGGCTTCCCCGGGCCCCTCTTTCTTGTTCCCAGGCGAGCCAAAAGCACAAATGGGAGGTGTTCACGTTCCTGACGCCGACCTTCTGCGACCACTGCGGCTCGATGCTTCACGGTATCGCCCATCAGGGACTCAAATGTTCAGGTAGTTAGAAAGCTAAGTCAAGAAACCGAGCCCGCGCGCTCGCGTCACCGGCACCGCCGAGTCATCAAACGGACAGATATCTCGCACATCAATCCTACCACCACCACCACCATCACCACTACCACCATCGACACCCCCGTCGATCCCGACATAATCCCGCAGGAATGTGTCTTCCATCTGGGTTGTCCGAATTTCTGTCCCGGCGGCGGATGATCGATCTGACGGTTGGTCCGAAATTTCGAAATGCCAATTTTAGTCTAACCGGAATATTTCGAGCATTCTCTCCCCTATTTTTTCCATGCCGAAACACTAATAATAACGATCGATCTCGTGTACGTGAGTAAGGATATTATTTTTCGTTAATAACGGAAGCAGCAACGACGATGTTACGGTTTCGCTAAAGCGCTCGAACAGCCGCGGCTATTGTTATTACGGAGGACAAAGCGAGAAACACCGATAAAAAAGAATATCGAAAATCCATCGACGGCGGTGCGAACGGTAATTCGTTGTACCGCTATTAATAGTTACGTATCGATATCGCGGCTCTTCATCGTTGCGCGCTCGTTTCGTGCCGTTCGGAGACCCAGATGCAGGGCTTTTCACAGATCCCGAGGCCGCGCGCGCAACGGACAGCCGGCATGCAAAAATACACGGCAATTAAGTCGCACCGTTCGCTTTTATCTCGCGGCGCGTTAAGTCGCTTTAAAGTGGTCGTGGCTAATTTAGCGTGCTCCGAAAGAGGGATATATATGTTATCGCTTTGCAGCGTTAATAGACCGTCGATTAATTAGCATCATCTGTCGTCCGAGAAAATGCGAGCCAATTGTTCCACGAATTATTCGCAAAGGTGTTCGTTAATTTTCTACCTTCGCCCGGGAATAAAAGTCGATCGATTTTTTTCATCGTATTGACTTTGTAAGAAATATGGATTTTCCTCGTTTTGCGAATGAGTGAATAAACGATCGTGCGAGATGCATTTCTTATTATTAGAACGGGAAAATTTGATTAAGAGGACGCGTCAGATGAAAAAGCTCGCTCCCCGATGTTGGTATCGGGATACCAGACAGAAATAAATGTCGGATTGAACCCAGATGGGGCGCGGTATCGACTTCGGTACGAGTAACAAATGTACCTTGGATTTTCTTCGTCGGCCGCGAAACCCCCGGGAGAGCATCGGAAATGCACGGATCAGGTGACTCGTATCTCCCGTTTCGGGTGGGTTGCGCACAGTTTGTCCGAACAGACGGAGGTTTTACACGCGATTACGAACCAACCAACTTCCGGAGGATCCAAGTTTCGGTCGAATTAACAGAAAACACCGCGAAGGACGTAGAGAGGGAAAATTGCGAAGAACGACGCGCAAATCCCTCGATAGAGCTCGTAATTTTCGGACTGAGAAATATGACAATTTCGCACACGTCTGGAAATATTCTGAAAAATACGATCGGGACTTGAAGCGTGCTCGAAATCGCGAGTACTTTGAGAGTTTTACGACGCAAAGAGGTTTCTCCCGGGATGTGCTCACCCGTTACGCGACTGTGCCACTCACGTCTGTGTATTTTCGCGAGAGATTTCTCTTCCTCGCATTCGCTCTCTTCTAACCCCGTCGAAAGTCAAATAATAATTCCGCGAAGAGGCACGACACATTTCCCTTCAACGCTCGGTTAAATAAAGCTCTCTCGGTCGCTTTGCCTTAGCCTCGGGTGAAGTCGTTAAACGAGAGATTGCCAATTAGAAATCGCGGTCCACGTGCGGCTTTTTCTTCCCGAGACGAGAATTACACGAACGTGTTATGTTGCACGGCAGTATGTGACGATTTTTACGCGCCCGCAAATATCGTGACGACAATCTGAGATAAAAGCGTATTTGCATTCGGCAAATAGAATATAAATTCGTCGCGTCCGTGGAGCGCGATTTATACGCCGATCGATTTGACCGTAGAGTTCGTGCGCGGAAACCTAACGAATACTTACCCTCCCCTCCCCCAATCGTTTTTATCTTTAACTTCGTTAACAGAAGCCATTCAACGCCGAGAATCGAGGGCGCGAAAGCCACTTATCCGTATTTATTACATTACGTGCATACGACTTTCGGACAAAAAGTTGCATACGAAAGTGGACTTGATTTTTTAGAGAGAACACTATGTATATATGTCGTGTTGTTTAAACCTGATTACATATCGTTTCGAACGGAAACTTAAGAATTCATCTCGGTTCTTCTTTAACGGGATTCGGTCGAAGCCATATCTAAGCTCAGCCGGTTCTACGAGGAATTTGTTATCAGCCCTCTCACACGAGAGATATAAAATCAATTTCTCGCTTCGTCTGTGCGTTATTCTTCGTCTCGCAAGCAAACTCTCGCGTTGTAACCTCTTTTCCTTTCCGGAGTCAACTACTCCTCTTAATTACCGCTTCGATCTCCGTGGCCGTCGAGACAGGCGCTCACGAAAGATTCCGCTTTAGAGAACTCACTTGGCTTTCGTTGCGGATCGCGCAATCATCCCCCGCCCACTCGAAAGAACAGCAGCCTTCTGTCGCAAGCTCCGCGAAAGAGACGTTATATTCCGCTATGTGGAATTTCGCACGCGAGTGGCACAGAAAACGTACGAGGGAAAGTTAGGGGGTCGCTTTGATCGCACAACAAAACTCGCGTCCACGTCGCGTCTTCCTCCCCGGCGGAGCGAGAACGCATTGAGGGATCGGTTTTCTCCTCGCGAGTCACCTCCCCAAGTTGTGCTCGCATGATGCATCTTTCCTATCTACGACGATACTGCGGAAACATCTCTTCTCTGAAAAAGGGGAAAGAAAGAGAAAAATCGACGTTTCGCGTGTTACCTGAACTGGGAGTAACACGCGTTCCCATTCAACGGTAACGTATATACAATATTAACGCGATCGTTATCGGCCTTACCGTAGGTATATTACTTTCGGCCTTGGTACATTTTTAATTGTGTTATCACACAACTGTATACCTTCCGGCTCTTCCCGCGGCGAAGCGGGAACGTATTTTAATATTTCCCCCTATCGCATTCGCCGCCTATTCTCACCCGTCGCTTATTCATACCGCCGCGTTTATTAACTCCCGCGACGTTTGTACGACACCGTCGTATTTCGAACATTCACCTGTGCGCGCGTCTCCACACGCACCCCCGAGCGCCGGTGTTTCTACATATGTATAGATTTTGTATATATTGTAGCGCAGCACCCGCAAAAGTAGCGTCGCGTATTTTTCAGTTCGGCTGTACATACGATATGTACACACGGTAAAGTTCGGTCGGGGCGAGAATTCGCCCGCTAATTAAATTTATCTATCGCGGGAAAATCCACCTCGCATATTAATTCGACGCAAGGGTAGATTCCGCCCGATAAATCGGCCGTTCTTTCGCGCTCGTTATCTCGATTCGATTTTGTTAACGTTTCGAGTACCGGCTCGGTAACTGAAACTCACCGAGAGAGTAAAATCCATTTAAGGATTGCGAGGAAGTTTCGTTATCCAACGGCGGTTACACAGCGGCGGTGTAATATTGGCTCTGCGTTCGCTCGCGTTCTTTATTTTCGCAGTATCTCTTTATTATATTTCCTGTGTAGCTTTTTAAACTTACTTTCTCGAAAACAATGCGGCCGGCCGAGCAGAATGCGGATAGTGTCGAGTGATACGCGTGCGAGAGTTGCCCCGCGAATTTCACCGTCTCTATACGAATTCGTGTACATATGTATATACACGAGACACAATGTTTGTCATGCATGTATACCTACTTCTATGTACACGCACATTCACGTTCTGTAGATTTACAGGCCACTTATCAGCGCGTGAGCGCCAAGTAATCGTACCCTCCTCTAGCGGTCATGCGAACCTTTGATTGCATACTGTGTTGACCACTTGCGTGATTATCATTCGTGTTACCCGCAATTAGCTTTTTGTTGATATGTATTTTGTACACACGTCACCATTTGTCCATTTTCCATTTATCGGGACCTCTCATTACGTTATTATTAGTGTCACCACGAAGTAGCGTAAGATCTTGTACAATAACGTAAAAACCGTACGTACGCGTGGAAACGCGAAATCGCTAATGAGCGCGTTTATATATATCGTACTTACATCGTTCGCTCTCGTCCTGAAGAAGAGTATAATATCGAGCGATGTCCCTTCGAAGCTCGATTAATCAATTATAATGAGATCGGAGGATCGGCGATCGGATTTTCGTAAGCTCTCTCTCTCTCTCTTCCAGTTCGCTAGGAAGCGATCGGTCGCGTTTCCTGTGCTTCGATTCACCCCACGTTCACACCCAGTCGTTTCCCCTCCCGCATGCTCACGGACATTATCTTTCGTCGGCAAGAACGTACGTTGTGATCCTTCGGCTTCTGAGCACGGTTTGCCTCGAAAGTGGTGGATTTCACAGCCGGTGCAATTATGAGATTTTTTATACCTCGGCATTGGAGCGCAAAGATCACTCTGTCGCATCTATGGCCAAAGTTACGTCGGCCTGTGCAATTCTCCATCTATATGAGACCGCAGTGAATTTGTACATCGTCGTGAACTCTCGACATACACCACTTTCGTTGGCACGAATCTCCCACGCGTACGTACTCGCAGCTGCGCTCGAAGAGATCGGCATGAGAATGCTTGGAAACGGCGAATATCGCACGCGAGCGACAGCTGCGGTTTCCGACGGCCGAACGTTCGAAATGAACGCGACGAGCTTTCCGATATCTCGCCGTGGTATTAGAGAGACATGTCTCGCGACGGTCGATGATAATCGTTGATGATGTGATGACGCAGCATGCGACATGAACGTGCACAAGAGGTGCGAGGAGAGCGTGCCGAATCTTTGCGGATGCGATCACACCGAAAGACGTGGTCGTATACACCTGCACATCACGACTTCCGGTAGCAAGCTCAGCATAGAAGGTACGTACCGTCTCGCAGCGATTTTGTCCTTGCACATTTCCGCAGCTTCTTTTTCCTCACGATTTTTCCATCCGCCGCAACTTGTCGGAACAAGTACACGTCGTTTTCCACGTTATTTCAATCATGGTCTCGTGCTGTTGTAGACATCGACGATGATATCTCGGAAAATACGGTCGAATGATTTGCGATACTAGTCTGCAGCAAGGCAGGCTGCGCTGCTTTCTAGCCGTGCTAGGCTATATTTTCCCCATTTTGAGACGCGAGAAAATTGAAAATGCAAACGGCTGCAATAGCTTTTCATGCTCTGCGGAGAGAAAAATCGAGAATTAAATGTCATATCAAATTAAACGCACGCGAAAATTAATATATATCTAGGAAAATCTCATTTGTACCGACTTGTGTGTGTCACCGAAACGGTTGGAAATATTTCACACCGACCTTTTTCACGCGTAAAATAATATTAAAAAATAATGTTCCACTCGCGTCGTTAGTTACGACCTCGCGCGTTTCGATATCGCATTCAAATGTGAAGTACAGGGCGGGGCTTTTAATTCAATTAATGGGCGGTTCGATCGCGTCACGACAGGATTTCCGATTTAAATTTCGAGTGCGGCCATGATGGTGGGAGCTTTCTCGGCAGCGTGTGTTTTTCACGACGAGGTCGGAAAAGAAAACATCGTTGCTCTCTTGCCGGAGACATCGTCAACAGGCTAATTAAGTACATTCGACTGCATCGAACGAATGATTGAAACTCGGCGAGTACACGGAGAGAGTGATCGGTACGATGCCGCGCTAATAATACCTCATCACTTCCTCGTTAAATTTAATTCGAATGCCTCCTTTTCCGAAGGTTTCTATTTCGCGAAGATTTAATAAAGTCGTCGACGTTTCGTTAGGGTCGAACGATAAATAGCAACGAAATCTTATTGGTTGTTCTGATCTGCACAACTGCGTGCGAAAATTCGAGACTGGTGAGGTGATTCGGCAAGTGCGTTATTATCGCGAAGGCCACCGTAATAGCGTCTGAATGCCGTTACAACCCTGAGAGCGTAATTATCCGCAGCTGGCACTAACTCGCGCGATATTCTCCCTAAATTCGCCGCGGCTTGAGTGCGTTAAATTTTCTACGGCCTTCTCGTGTGAAATCGGTTTACAAGGAGAGAGCGGGGCCGGCTTTCGCGAATCGTCGTAATATCACCGCGAGTTAACTCAAAAGCGGATATTCGACTAACTAACGGGCGAACCGCGGTGACTCTCGTCGCATTAGCGTTCAAAACCGGAGCGGACGTGCGCCTGCGATTACATCACGCCTGTTCACACCTCGCAGCGAGATCTATTTTTGATTGCAATTTGTACAATTATCGGATGAATGGCTCGACGATGAATCTCGTCCGACGTACATCTCCCTGAATTGGAAATGCTACCTTTGAATAAATTTCAATATCTACGCATTGTTGCGCACAGGAACAGCAAAATTTGGCGACGACGGCCGTTATCATTCGCGCGAATAGCGGCGCGCCGTAATCAATTTGCAAAATACATCTCGGCCGCTATATTTTCGTCGGCGCGATAAGCACGCCGTGTCTTATCACCTGTCGATTATCTTGAAAATTAGCTTTTTTCGTTTGCGAGCTGCCCGCCAGGCGGGATATTACCGTCGGCGAGGTTTAATTAAAATCAACGTACTTATCGCGCGGCAAACAAAGTGCGATTTTTCGCCCTTCAATTAATCGCCTCTTTCGCACTTATTCACCCCTCTATTAGCCGGAGCGTTATTAATTATTATGAGACACTCCCGCTTATACTCGGCGTTAACCGTACGACGAAGATTATGTAAATGAGACCGTCCGGCAATTTGCGGGGGGATCGATATGGGGTGTTTCGGGATGGAAAGGTAAATAACCGGCGAAAGGAGAGAGAGAAGTATCGATCGCGAACAAGAAAGGCAAATCGCGCGTCTGCAAATCCGGAACGGTTTCGGCCGAGATTCGTGTCTAAAAATATGCAGCGTGTGCAGCCACATTGCGATACTACAAGGTCCGTAATTAGCAGTTTGGTGGAAAGTCCTACACCTCTCGACTCGTTCATCGAATCCTCTCTCTCTCTTTCTCGATCCTTCGCGCCGAAACATCCCGCATTTCACGGACAAATGCGCGTCGTCGCTCGCGAATTCCTCCCAAAAGGATCTGTTCGTTTGCAGTGCGGGAGGGACGAAATCTCATTCCGATGGATCCGAACGGGCTGTCGGATCCCTACGTTAAGCTGAAGCTAATCCCGGACTCGGACAACGTGAAGAAGAAAACAAAGACAATCAAGTCGTGCTTAAATCCAGAATGGAACGAGACAATCATCTTGTAAGTAGTTCCTCTCCTCGGTGTTTTTGGCCGACGATTTCGCACAACAATTAGATTCCTGACAATTAGATTCCTTATTCCCAGGAATGAAACTGTTCCGTGCGTTCTCCTTCGCGAGACGATCGTTTCCGTTAATGTTTGCTCTACTGACGAACTACAACCCCGCCCGGGCGAATATCGATTCCGCTAACACATTCGCGAAACGTGTATTACGCGAGGGATTTCGGCAAACATCTCCTATATGACTGATTCGCTTGAAATCTAAACTCGCGATCATTTCGACGTCGCGTGAAATCAATTTTCACGGCACAATTTGCGCTCTTCTTTTTTCCTTCGAATAAGACGACCTCCGTCTCTCGTACGCTGAATCTGAATGAATAACGTATGGAGAGGGAGGTCCTACTAGGGGCGCGAGATTGAATTACCCGTATCCTCGTAAGATAAAGCAACGATTAGCTTAATTTGACTTGTTCCGCTAGCGACCTCAAATCCGAGGATAAAGATAGGCGGCTGCTGATCGAGGTATGGGATTGGGATCGAACGTCCAGGAACGACTTTATGGGGTCCCTGTCCTTCGGCATATCGGAGCTTATCAAAGCGCCCGCGAGCGGTTGGTTCAAGCTGCTCACCCAAGAGGAGGGAGAGTTCTACAATGTACCTGTTCCTGAGGAGGGCGTTGACCTGGCCGAGCTTAAAACCAAAATGCGGGTATTTATTCGGCGCGTCTCGTTAAAATGTGAAAACAACGAAGCATATTTGCCGTGGAACACAATCGAGAATTAACGACCGGTTTTCGAATTTAATCAAAGTTGCCGAGATTACCTTGGCGAAATCTAAAGCTCGTTTCGAATAAACTTCGTTATTATCCTGCGTTGCTTCGAGACGAATGTCCCGAATATATTTTATATACACGCTGACTTGTGATTTAGAAAACTTCGGTGACGAAGAAGACACACACGTCCCAGGACAAGGACGTGCCGCATAACATGGGCAAGAGCGATCTGATACGCGCCAGCGACTTCAACTTCCTGATGGTACTCGGCAAGGGTAGCTTCGGCAAGGTGAGCCTCGGTGATTGACGGAAAGTAGCCAATTCTCGCAACGTCTCGATCGATTGATTCAAGGTATTGCTGGCGGAGAGGAAAGGCACCGACGAACTGTACGCTATCAAAATCCTGAAGAAGGACATCATTATTCAGGACGACGACGTGGAATGCACGATGGTCGAGAAACGCGTGCTCGCGCTGTCGAATAAACCGCCCTTCCTGGTGCAGCTACATTCTTGCTTCCAGACAATGGTACGAATATAACAATAGTTCGAGTTATATAAATTGCTCGTTCGAAGGAAAGATCCAAGTTGAGCGAATTAAGAAAAAAAAAGAAACGAGCTGAATGTGAGAGTCGCTTATCGGATAAAATATAGTGTTCGTTTCATATGCGGTATAAGTGAAGAAAAGCACCAAAGCGCTTGATTATTCAAACGCTTTTCTCATATAAGCTGCTTATTAAGCGTCTGATGAAATTTTCGCAAAGGGAAACGTCGAACGCGAAGAGCACGTAAGCTCTCTCGTTCTCGCACACAAAACGATGTGAAACGCGATGAAAGATTAAGCGAACACTTGCTTGCCAACGGCGGCTTACGGGATCCGCTTTCTGCTTTCCGCTTCAGGACCGTCTGTACTTCGTGATGGAATACGTGAACGGCGGTGATCTGATGTACCAAATACAGCAGTGTGGCAAATTTAAAGAGCCGGTGGCAGTGTGAGTATTTTAGCGTCCGTGAACGTGCTCCGCTTTAACTTGCGGATCGATATCCTTAACTCTATTAAAGCGCCGTGAGACGACGTGGGAACGCGCCGGGACGAGAACTCTCGAGCGATTCACGTTGTCGAACTTTCTCAACACGTTCCGAATACGAAATGAAAACCGATTGTACCCGGGAGATGTGTCTCGACGCGACAGCGTCGTCATCGGTGACCTTAATTTTTGCCCATTAGCCTCGTCCCCGATCATTTTATTCCCAAACATTGGCGATTGAATCTCCCAATGATCGCGCGTTTGCAGATTTTATTCGTCCGAGATTGCGATCGGCTTGTTCTACTTGCACTTGCGCGGCATCGTCTATCGCGACCTCAAGCTCGACAACGTCCTGCTGGATCAGGACGGTCACATCAAGATCGCGGATTTCGGTATGTGCAAGGAAGGCATCACCGGTGACAAGACCACCAAAACCTTCTGCGGCACGCCCGATTACATAGCGCCCGAGGTGAATACTTTACTTCTATGTGCTGGGCGTTTCCAATTGGTGGCGGAGCGCGCGTGACATCATTCCTTACGAGTTGATTTTCCTCGACGGGAATTCAAAGTTCCTTCGACATTGTCTGGATAACTAAGCTTCGTATTAAAATCTTATTCAAGCCAGCTTTAAATAATGTTATTTGCCTCTTGATATTAGTTTCGCGGGAAATCTTCGAAATGATTGATCGCTCGAAACCTCTCAGTATCTTCCGCCAAGAAAAATCAACTTTGGATCTCGCGAATAACCGGAACGATTATACCAATTCCGAGATATTCGGTGAAATAGAAGTGGGACTTTGAGAGCCGGAGCTTGTCTTTGAAAGTCACGCCGCTTTTCGCCTCTTTGCGCAGATTATCCTGTATCAACCTTACGGCAAGTCTGTGGATTGGTGGGCTTACGGTGTACTGTTGTACGAAATGTTAGTGGGTCAGCCACCGTTTGACGGCGAGGACGAGGATGAATTGTTCTCCGCGATCACGGACCACAATGTCAGTTATCCGAAAAGCCTGTCTAAAGAGGCCAAAGAAGTCTGTAAAGCGGTAAGCTTATTCTCTGCCGTCGTACTTTGCTCATTTGCCGCGCTTCATTTGTACAGTTTCCCGAAATGCAGACGAGTTCTTGCATCTGTCTGTGTAGTTCCTCACGAAGAATCCCAGCAAGAGACTGGGCTGCGGAATGCGCGGCGAGGACGATGTCCGAAGTCACGCGTTCTTCCGACGTATCGACTGGGAGAAGATTGAGAATCGCGAGGTGCAGCCACCCTTCAAGCCCAAGATCGTAAGTAGGCTGGCGATATTCTTCGATATCCTCGGATTTCTTTCTTTCTCGGGAAGAGTGTAGCATCTACGGTGTTGGTCGTGCGTTTCAGCAACATCGTAAGGATGTGAGTAACTTCGATAAACAGTTCACCTCGGAGAAGACGGACCTCACTCCCACGGATAAGCTGTTCATGATGAATTTGGACCAGACGGAATTTATGGGTTTCTCCTTTCTCAATCCTGAGTTTGTGCAACACGTCTAAGCGAATACTTTCTCGTAACCACTTCATTCTTCGTCGTTCATCTTTCTCTTTATCACTCAGGGCTCTCTCTCTNCTCTCTCTCTCTCTCTCTCTCTCTCTCTCTCTCTCTCTCTCATTCTGTCTCTCTATCTCTGAATCTCGCTCTTAGCATTCTCGTGAAAGTGTCGAAAGCGAGAAAACTTAAGGTACTGTCGTTTTCGAATCTTGTTAATAAGAGTTCATGCGAGACTCTTTGATGTATTTCTAAGCAGTCGCGTGCGATAATCGTGTATGTATCACTACGCTATAAGGGAGAAGAAAATTAAGGAAGAAAGTAGGTGCTGAAGATTCATCCGCGGATAAATCCGCGATAGCTGCCGCGAGGGAAGGACGAAATCGACGGACGGAGAAAATAGTAACGCGGATAAAAATGTTGCTTTTCTCGCACGGTGAAAAAAGAAGAAGAAGAAGAGGAGGAGGAAGAAGAAGAGGAAAAAAGTGCGGTGTGACCGGCGAGAAGGAAAATCTCAAAATCGATGTCTTCGTTTTCTGCGTATATTATTATGCATTTACTTCAGTAGTCTCTACTGTCGCCCCTTCCAGAGTATATATAATATATATATTGGACGAAATGAAAGAATGAATATATGATTATATATACATTATATATACACATACAGTCACATTACGCGGTATATATTACATATATATATACATTATATATGTATACATATATGTATATATACAAATATATACATATATATTAAATTTCTATCGATATTTCGTTAACGTTGCACTCCTCGTCGGTTTAATCTTCTTAAGTAGCGGATCTTTAAAGCCGGGCCCTTAGATTTTCCGGACTTACGACGGGTTAAGAATTTATTAGTGCTGCGTCGAGGTCGACTCTCATATTGACAGATACATACCCAGCCATGTACGCAACATATACACACGTACTATCACACATACACTCACACAAATACGTCTAGTCTCACAAGACGATATCTCGTTTCCTTTCTCCTTTATCCGTTACGGAAGCACGAGTCTGGAGTATCTTTTCTAGTTTTTCTCCGTCGTCCTTCGATGGGAGCGCGGATAAGACTACGGAAATCGTACCCGATAAACTCGTAAATAGATCAGGAACGTTTCGAGACGCGCGCTGAGTCGATCGCGGCCGATGTCGATGAAGGGAAGTGAAATCACCGCGCGTCGAATAATGTAGAAATGAGACGGGTCATATAGACACAATAGTTTCGCGTTTACGCGGAGGATAAAGTCGACAATATAAAAGCGACGGTGTACGTTGTAGTTTTACTCACCTTTTGCTGACACGATATGTGCCGCGTGCGCGATATTACCGGACGCAATAACGTTTTACGCGGGACGGATATGCGAGAATACACACGACTAATATATCTCAGACTCTCTGCGATCATGTGACACACGATGTACATATTATTTCTCATGATATGCTCCTTCGGAACGGGATTTACGCTCTTACATAATAATTTATGTTGTTACACACACACACACACACACACATATATATATATACACATATATCGTCACGCCTTACAAAAGAAAGAAGGCACCCGCGCGCAAGAGATCATTTTGCGTTTGCTGACAATCGAAAGGATCAAAGGCACTGTCTTGGTCCACTTAGCGCTCTCTTCTCCTTCGTAATTTCATTGGTGCGCCTCTTCTCGCCGAGTCTTCCTACTGCGTTTCATCGAGGAAGGTGTATGAGAGTCGGAGGGAAACTGAGTACAAGCGCGAGCATAAAAAAAAATGAATACAAGAAGAGGCATACTCGATCTCACGCGATATATTTTTCTCGTCGTTTTTGCCTTTCTTTCAACGCGGTTACGGCGCATCGATCATTGATATATAATCGATCGTTAATAATTATTAATTGACCAGCGTAATCATTATAGACGTAGTCGACAGGCTCGACGAGTTTGACGCGAGCTTTTTCTTCGTTTTTACATATCCAGTATCTGGCAACTCGACGAGAGAGACTCCCTCGAGTTTACTCGCGCTAATTACGACGAATTGTACAATATCGTCGAGGAAGGAAAAAGCAACGACACGGAGAAGTCTTCTCGCGCGTTTTCGAGAGAGGATCCGGGAATAGGAAGAATTTATTATTATCATATCTTCTTTGGTTCCGAAATTATTCACGGGGCATATATCATGAAACGAAAAAACAGTCGCCGTTTATCGTCGAGTTGCGGCATACGTATAAAAATAAAAATTCAAGGACGAACTCGTATCCTTATTCTCGCGCCTATTTCTATTACATAAGCGAAATTTTAGAATTTTTCTTTTGATCGAAGTACCGTCATAATTTCATCATTACCCCGTTCTCGTTACATCCGTGTCGAAAACGCGCATCGAACAAGACAAGTATGATTCTCTCTCTCTCTCGAGAGAAAGTTTTTAAATGTGGTGTATATACACATATATACACGGCGTCCCGCTACGATAGAAGGATACGGGTGCGTTTCTTTGCGAGGGTATCACTTATTATTTAGAGTGTTCCGATAATAAAGATTTAACGTAGTTCTCGCCCCTTTTTTCCAATGGGCGATCTCACAATCTTGTTCTTCGATCGGGCGATTTCGCGCAGTCTCATCGCGAAATCATAAACACATATACACACAAGCGTGCACGCGCACACACAACACATACACATACGTTACCGTTCCAGCTACTCGGACTTACCGGCATAATTTTGGAAACTCGCGACTTACATAGCCCGCGAATCTCGGCGGCAGAATCTCATTGTTCCTTCTGTAGTAGCGCGATACGTTACCGATTACGATTATGCCGGTCTGTTGTATTATACAATTGCGTCGTTATAAGATTCAAGTGTGGCGGTAGTTTTGACATTAATTAGCTCTCTACCTATTCTCCGTTCCTCGCATTCGTTCTCGCGTTCGTTCTCGGGTCATTACGATTATACACACGCTTATTATCCTCGACATTATAGCAACTTTAAGTAACGTAATAATAAAAAAAAAAGGACGAAATCTCTGCATCTGTCGAAATGTATACCACCATTCCACACTCCACGGCCGTAAACCTAATCTACCGTCTCTCGTTAGCGACGGACACCACAACACCGATACTAAATTCGCGCTTTGTGTTAAACGCGGACCTTGAATATCCCTACAGGGGGCTGCGCGATCTGCGCCCGAAATCTATTTTTGTACTAAAAATGAAATGAAACTCGCGAGGGGGAGGCTATACTGCTTCTCCCTTCTTTTCCTATGCGTCTAGTAGAGATCTCTCGTTGTCACGATCGTGACAGTTTTCGTAGCGCTCTTTAGTACACAATATATACACATTCTAAGCGTTGTAAAAAGGCACTGAGTAATAAGGAGTAGCTGATAAGTCACCGATGCATACAAGAATCCGTGAGAAAGAGAGAGTGCGATATCTACGGTGAATTTCGAGAAGCGTAACGTTGTGAAAAATTTGCCTCGATTTAGTCACCCACCGAGATACTTTTATTCTTTCGCCGCTATTTCATTCGTGTTCTCGACGGCATATTTTTACACGGTCGTCGGTAATGGTTCAAAAGAGACGCTGTCATCTATGAAAATTTAATTTTAAACGCTACACGCTGTTCTTTATTTTAGGAATTTTTCGCTAGTGAGAGAAATTAAAAGTTCTGTTGTAATATATGTTCACGATACATGTTTCCACAAATATGAAACGCGGAGAATTGTACTTTGTATTGTTTGGAGTTACTCGCAGAAGGCGCGATGCTCTTGTGAAAAATCAAGACAACATTCTTGGCAATTCACACTCGTTTCTGCGTGACTGATCAGAGGTTGGTATAGTCTGACGAATAATGAAAAATGTCAAAGTCTTAATGAGATGTGTCAAATAAGTGACAGTGAATTTTATAACATTTGCGCTTGTTTTTTTTTTTCCTTAATAGAGACGTGGCGTTTGGCTATTATCTTCTTTCGACGCAGTCACGTCTCTAATCTCGATCTATTCTCTTTTCCTTCTTTTTATTCATTTTTCCTTCGACTATCATTCTTTCTCTCTCTCTCTCTCTCTCTCTTTCTCTCTTCCTCCCTTCCTCCTTCCCTCCCTCTCTCTCCCTCTCTTTTTCAATCTTTTTTCTAATCTTGTTCTAGATGTTACACTTTGACCTTTTTGAAAGGTAAGGAGTAGAATACATTTTTATTGACACGATTTCGGTAACCGATGCAGCGAGTGCGCGCGCGCGCTCGTCCGTCGCGGTTCTGAACGGGAAAATCGGGAAAATATTGGCTCAGACTAATGAATTAATTCTCCATCGAGATAGAGACGAGACATTGGATATTAGAAAAGAGCAGGACGAGATATTTTTCTTTCAGAATCGCGAACTGGGACAATGTTCATGTACGTAACGCATTCGTGGCGACATTAAATTTTCCTTAACTCGTGAAATACAGTAAAATATAGCGCAGGGTTGTTACGTATTTTTCTCTATAAAACTATTCGTGAGTCGATTTTTTTCCTCGCATATTTTTCCATAAAGAATTTAATAATCCCGTAATAAACGCATTTAGATTGTTGGAGAAATTTGCCAAAATTGTTATCAGTTGTTGAGTTTTGCTGTTCTTTATTAGTTGTAAATGCTACAAATGCGTGCGTATCGCGCGCGTAATCGCGGAGTGTAGTCGAGCGGTTGACTAGCGCGTTATTTAGCCTTTAAGTTTAAACAAAAGAAGTAGCAAGCAAAAATGCAAAAACGAAAAAAAAAGATTGCAAGGAAGAAGGTAGGAAGTAGTCACAGAGACGTAGAATATATACACAAAGATAATACCGATCGCGTAGCAGCTCTATTCATCCTCCCATGCTGTAATTAAATATATCGTTCTCTTGATTACATGCCGTTATAATACACACGTATTTACACGTACACGCATATTTTTAAGATGTTTTTGTGCATTTATAATGTCGCAATAAAAGTTCCGAATCGTGTCATGAGAAGGTTTGTTAGAGCCCCCGCGCCTTTACGCGCCAACGATTTCTCGACCATCGTGTATTTATTTTAAAAGGGTTGATATTTGAGAAAAGTGTGCCCCTTGCACAATACGCATTATTTAAGACAATTGAAAGATTTACCTCATACATTTGATGACGTTGGATCCGAAATTTAAAATCAGCACTTACCATGATTGCCATGATCTTACGCCATTTTCCGTACGACTGCGATAAAAGAACTTCGAGAAGTAATCGATCGTTGCGATAATCGATTGTTACAGTAAGCGACATCACAGAAGCAATCGATACATCGCACATCGATACACATCATAATATGTATTATCGTTGAATCCAAATTATTTTGAAGGTATGGGAGCAAAAACTGCATCGTAGAGAAAGATAAAAAACCCTCAGGTTGAATGGAAAGGCAGACAAAAAATTTTGAGAAACTGAACTTCAACTATCGTGCGTTTCGATATCTCGCTCGCGAGTGACGCCAGTGTAGTGGCGCCAGTGCAGTGGTCGCCATCTTCCTTTCAGTTCTCTTCGGTCCTCTTCGAAGGCGCGTAGTCGTATCTCCGAGCCACTTCCAATAATAACCGTTAAACGCGTCTGATGAGTCCAGCAATTCAACTCATGTCGTCACGATAACTCCTGTTTCTTCGTTCAGTAAGTAACAACACGAATATTCTCGTAAGTGAAAGATGAAAGCTGCTGAGGATGCTCGACTGATACGTCCTCGGTTTCAAATCGTTCGTAACGGAAACGAGCCGAGGTGTTTAAGGGCCAAAATGGCGTGTCATGTGATGCGAATTTGAATCTAATTGAGTTATCGGCCATTTTAATCAGGTCAACTTTACTCAATCTTTTCCAATACGATATTAATGTTGAGAATTCTCGTAGTTTTTATATAATATGTAATGATTGACACCAAAACCTGTTGCGCATATATATTGCACGTTTATATTATATATATACTTTTATGTATATTATATATAAGTATTATATATATATATAATTTTTTTTTATATTATATATATTATACTTTTTTATGATTTTCCTCGAAACATTTTACGTGATTATAAGAGAAAAAGAATTGTATACGAAAACAGTTTCTACGAATATAAGTGATTTATTACTCTTGTACGCCTTCTACGTTACAATTCTACACTAGAATCGACAAAAATTGGCTAATGCTTTGGACTACCCGTTACACAGAGTTAGTTTGATTCCTTGTCGAGATTTGTCGGTGATTGTTAATTACCGTATATTTCAGCTTTATGTACAGTTTCGCTGGGTTTAGTTATAGAAAAGTCGCTTCTAAGCTCTTCGTAAAAGTACTTGAGTCGAAATTTAGCATCTAACAAATCCTATCTGCCTTACACTTTTATTTAATCTTATTATTGTATCAAATTCAAATTTACATTGGATTGGTCTGCAGCATTATTAGACATATAACTATTATATTCACTGTTACAACTTCTTTCTTTCTGTCTAGAACTCCCAAATTCAAGATAATTATTTATAATCAGCTATTTTTAACATTTAAAGAGACCAACAGTTTGCATAATGTTATATTTCATGAATCCTCAATCGGTCATTTTGCTTTTGGCAGTATTTATAGATCCGATATTTCGACTCGGGTATCTCTGAGAAAGTTTTCGCACTATAAATATAGTAAAAATATGAGAAATAGATAGAGAAGGGTAAAAATGATAAAATCGCAAAGAATAGAAAGATAAAAGATAAAATAGAAAGAATAGAAAGATAAAATCGAAAAGAAATGAAAGAGGAAACAATGAAAAGCTATTAAAAACGTCGCACGTTATTAGAAACCATGATTAGTGCTCACTTAACGTTAATAATTATTGTATCTTCCTATGTACAAGTTATTACAAACGTTTCGCTACGGTTGGGATAAACATCTACTTTTTATACGCGCGCGCGCTATGTAAATATATATATATAATAATAAAAAAGAGTGTATTCGTCGCACTTCTCGAATATATGGGGAAACGTTCCCCCTCTTAATCCTATATGACGAAAAGATAAGAGTCTAGTAAACCGCGGGCTTTGTAAATCTAAAGATCCGTGGAAATTGGGAGAGGGTATGGTCTGCGGATTCGAGAATCTGTGAGACCGATAAAAAAAGAAAGGTTTATGGCACGGTAAAAGTGAATTCGCAAGAACCATAGATCCGCAGACCTTGATATTCTTCATCCGCGTAATGTAAGGAAGATCCGAACGCTTAATGAAACATTCGATCTAAGAAATACGAGGAATCCGCGAAATCCTGAAATCTGCGGATCTGATGATTCGTCGAGATTCGAATCTGCGGATTCGAGAAGCCGCGAGTAAATATGCGAGCTTTACGCGTGCACTGTGCGTGGATTCGGTGGATATACGGATCTTACAGATTACAGGAAAGAGAGCCGCGGATCTATATATATAATATTAATAAATATATATAATATATAATATAATAACATATATTATATATTATATATTTCTATACAAATGTATGTGTGTATAAAACCGATCGATACGTGGTATGATCGCGTTAACGCACTTGGATGTATATGCTATGCCGCGAGCCTGCTCATCGGCCGAAATACTGCACGGTTCCTCCGAAACGTTACAAGGCATCGCCACTTTCTGCTACTTATAGAGTCGTTCTCGCGATTTCGAGCATACCGATCGATAATCGGTATGTCCGACAGGGCTCTATTATTAATATTATTATTAGTATTATTATTGTGTTGCAGTTATATTATTTGGGTAACCGTATGCCCCGGCGAAGTACAATGTAGTAGAATCCCTAACGCAGCGTTACAATGATAAAAAGTAAACAACCTCTCCCTAATACCGATGAGAATTATTAAATCACGACAGCACTCGGTTATTAGATATTCCGTTGTGCAATGTGCCGTATTAATTCTGTGCTTCACGACAACACCGCAATGATATATATCATTACATTTAGATAAGATTCTGAATGAAGTCGCGCATTGAATTCGCTAGGTATGAGACGCGAATACGAGCTATCGTCGCTTTGCTTCATTTTGTGTCACAAGATCGACCGCATTTTCCGTTTCATTCTCGCACATACGATGCTTGTTTTACGGGATTTCATGACAAACACACACATTCACACACAGCGTCAGAGATCCATGTTTTCCGGGCGTCATGGCTGCGTACATGCTGCTGTGACCCGCGTGAGATTTCTGTTGCGAACGAGCGAAATCGCAGCTCCGCGTCGACGGACAGTCATTACTAGAGTTACTCGAGTCAGAGTGTGACTAAAGTTGGTAAGTGAAAAAAATGCGCATCTCTCGTTTATAAAAGAGAGATTCTCGAGCTAAGAGACGAAACAAGTTAGATGTTAAATTCTTCCTTTTTCTTGGAAAGTCATAATTTCGAAACTGGCAAGATTTCTGCAGTTCGGCTCTTCTAAAATTTGTAATTTTTTCCATCGTCAGTTCACGTGAAAAAAATTCTTATACTCTGCCTCGAGTGTATCCCTAGTCGCTACTCGACGTTACTAACACGGGGGCACAGGAACTCATCGTTAATGCATATTGATACGAAGTGGTGACTAGTAGATTCTCGCCGAGCACTCCGCCGCGTCCGTGTGCTCCCGCAAGCAGAAAGAGAGAGAAAGAGAGGGCTTGCAAAGAAAGACGGGAAGGAAAAGGAAAGATAGAGAGATTGAGAAAGACGATACACCGCGTAAAACGTTGAAGAGTAAAAGTTCACGGCTTCAGTCGTGAAAATATTGATTATTTTATGCTTGGTCATTGTCACGCGCGTCATAATACAACGTTCGGTCGCATTCATTTGCAGCCGCGGAATACGCTACGTTTTCACCCGCATTAATAGTCGATTCTCGTTTCTCATTATAGACGGCGGGGACTTATAAGCACCACGTGCATTAACGTCGCTCTACGAATAAATAAGCATTTATGAATACGTTCCGAATTAATCCGTCGCGGCATGCACGCACGCGAGGCGTCGCGGAAGAGCGTCACTGTTATCCGCGTTTCTCCGCGCGACGATCCAAGCGGGTACTCGATACGAGAATATTCCTTTGCGAAACTGTAAAATGCGGACGCTTCGCAGCTGTCGTTCTTCTCATTTCCATTAGGGAAAGGGGGGGGGGGATAATTCTTTCTCTCTTTCTCTCCAATCGTACACCAGAATTGCCGGTGTATTCCTCGGGATAGAGTTCGTAGAGCGTACGCGGCGACGAACATACGCGATTAGTGTAAGCGGCGAACGAGACTCGCCGGTTGCTCCCAGACAGTCCGACACTTGGTAGCCTTCCGCCAGTGTGGCAATTGGATACCAAGCCGCTGGCATTCGTGCACATATGCCACGAAAGATTCGCAGAAGCAATGCTCGGTCGGACACTCGCACATGTCCTGAAGGCAGGCCTTGTAGTACATCATAGGGTTCACCTTCTTGTGGCAGGCGTCAAAGATTTGCGACCTCAGCCGGTTGCACAGTCTACAATCGACAAACGGAATTAGTTTTCTCGAAATTTTACGCAGCACTGCAATTCTTATTTTTCCTCAAAAGAGAGTGATGATATTACCGATGGTCCTTCCTTCCTTTGCAACGTCCCTCCTTTCCGTCGACGTTTCCGGGTCTCGCTCGAACGCATGCCTTTCTCGCGCCCACGGTCCAAGATTGGCCAAACTGCTGCACGTCCGTCAGCAGTCGGCCTCGTCGCGTGGTAAAGTCGTCTTTCGCGTTGGAATTGAAGTTACCGCAGAGGCCGCACAGACGTCCCCTGTACGACGAGGGTGCCGACACCTCGAGGTAGCTAATACCGTCCCAGAGTACCTTGATCCCGATTTGCGTGTTCACGATTATGCTGTCGGTCGTTCGGTTGATGTCTAGTCGGTTCGCGACGGCATAAGGAACGTCCACCTTCTTCCCGTTCACCTTCACTCTCATTCTCTGGCCAAGATTCACTTTCAAGTCTCCGACCTGCAACGCGGTCAGAAGATAAAATATCCTTTCGGTATCCACTTTAACGTAGCGCGCGAGACATTTCGCAATATGATTGATCGTCGACCTGAAGAACGTCGACTGGAAATATCGCCGCAACGAAATGCAGCAACAGTGTTCGAGTCAGTTTGATTTCGAAGTTTGTTCGACACGAACCTTGATGGCGATAGTTTTGGTCCACGCTGACGATTTGGTCGATCTGGCGTCGTTGGTCACGCGTATACTGAAAGTGCGGCCCACGCAATCATTGACCAGCTGATACTTGCACGGTCCCTTGAAGGTGTAGAATTTGCCGTCGAAGGTGCGATAGTGCGGATCTCCGAAAACCCTGCAGACTCCGTCGCCTGAAAGAACCGATCTTGATAAAGGTCCTCGGGGCGAGGTGCGCGGCACTTACTCTCGACGCATCGCGCGCAGCACTGATCCTTCGGACGCTCCAGTTTCGTGTTCGGCGGGCAAGGTTCGTTTATCGGCGGGCACATGAGCCTCGCGCAGCGCACCTTGCCCTGACTGCAGGCGCACGTCTTGCAGGAATCAAGCTTCCAAGTTTCGCCATCCTGCCTAGGACAAAAAAAGACGTTTAAACCGGACGGGATATCGAGCGCGAGGCACGATAGCTTCCAATACTCGCCTCGCGAACTTTTCCGTTGTAAACGCAGGAGGATCTGCTCTCCTCGATGATCGGGCATTGCGGGCAACAGCGACCGGCTGTCTGGTACTCCCTCGGGCACTCCAGCACCGGACAGGTCTCCTTGACGCACGAGACCGTCGAATTGATGCAGGTGCACGGTGTGCAGTGATCCGCGTAGAACTGTTTCCCCGATGTGTACAGCATCGTGCCGACCATGCACGCGCCTTTCGGAGGTTGTAGGAATCTTCTGCTACCTGTGTGATCGAATCAAGTAGAGAGAAAGAGACGCGGGAAATGACGAGCAGAGATTTTTTTCAGACGCCGTAATAAGCTGAAAAATCATTTTCTCCCCACGTTGAATGCACGAGAGAAAAATATGCTTCCTTTTACGAATCATCCCTTATGCGTGCTTGCATTTTCAATTTACTAAAATGTACGAACAGTATTTGTACGTTTTACGTAACGAAGCTCGTTCCTTGACGCGACAATTCATGGGTTATATTTCCGTTTATTATCGAGTTAGCACTATGCGCGCGGTATTGTAACCATCGAGCGTTATATTTTATCGCGGCATTTTAATGTCCCGAGATATTCAGTTAAATAGCAGCGCGTATTCTTCGACGGTTAGATGACAATCGTGGTGTTACGTGCGGCTGGTTTTTGCGCAATTGCGACATTGGAAAATAATCAGATTCGCATAAAACCGGTTCGCGCCTTTGGCCGTACGTACCGTAAGAGAGTCGGAATGACCTATAAATTCAAAGTGACTTTAATTGTTCGCGTGATCGCCTGGAAAATGCTCCTCTTGTGAAAAATGTTGTCGCAAAATGAAACTCTCGGAGCGCTATTAATCCATCGGCATCCAAGCAATGCTTACGTAACGAAGCAATCCCGTATCTTTATATAATATTACACACGCACGATCATCCGTGTCCTGTAGGTAAAGAAATGTTCGAATTATCGCGCGAGTCGATGAAAAGACGCTCGAGAAAACAATCGAAAGTATCTGCCGAGAGGTTCGAATAATTTCGGGACACATGTGAAATATAACGAAAATTATATAATTCCTTTCACCTCGGCAGTGCGGGCAGCATTCACCGGGAGCGTGAATGATCTTCGAAGCAGGACAATTGAGCGTCGGGCACGCTTGCTTCGCGCAGGTGAGCTGTCCGTTATTGCACTCGCAGGTTACACAGGGGTCCTCCGTCGTTGTCACCGATCTCTCCGCCGTGACTTTCTGCCCGTTCACCAAGCATCCTGCAAAAGCGCTACGAGATATATTCACGTTTATATCTATGCTACTCCGAATCGAAACGTGCGAGCGTAGAAATTTACTCTACGTACGTGAAGCGCGCGAGTTCTCGCGCGGTAACGTCGTTCAGACGAGAGTTTACGTGATTTATCGAGGAAATGTAACAAGGAAAGGGAGACAACATTACAACACACGCATTATCGTCGGGGATGAGCGCTGTAATTTTCAATCATTATATCGTTCCTCCCTCGTTATATCGGGGAACATTCCGGCCTTAATTGCGCGGCGGGATGCATTCAGGGGATCGTGAGAAATATTTGTGAGATTGGCGTGGGTAATTAGCAGCAGCATCAGAGCGAGGGAAGAAGAAAAATGTTACGTACCTGCGCAGACCGGGCAGCATTGGCCAGGTGCGGCCGGTGTCGGGTTTGAGCAGGGCGTGTAACATCGTAGCTTTGATTCGGTGATGATGCCCGATTTGCAGGTGAATACCCGGCACGGATCCTTCTTATCCGTCCACGTCGTGTCCGATTCGTGATAGTAGCCATCCCGCATGCATCCTGTAGTTCCACACGTGCGATTAAAATTTTGCCAAGTTCACGTTTGTTTCAAATCGACTCGCTATTTCGATCGAATTAAGTGATGTATCAACTTTATTATGTCCGTGTTATTCGTACAGCTCGAAATAGCATCACGATAGAATAATTGGGCAATGTTGAATTTTACTTTCGATTCTTCAAATGTAATTCGTACTTTGCGCCCGTTTTCCCGCGCGAGTTTTGTCATCGGTGGGCGCGCGCGCGCGAGAGTTGACTTACGTCATCATTAACATAATTAATAGGGGGCGATAAGGGGGGCCGCGCATCTGTCAGCTACGTGTCGTAAACAGACGGCCGCGCGCGCGAGGCTGACGCTCAAGTTCCTCGGGTTTATCACCGTGTCGACGAACAGAAGTGCCTTTGTGTGGGAACAATGCTCCGGCCGAGCATTCCGCGAGCATTCTCGGCTTTCCATCTTACCGCGGACTCTCTCCTCCCCGTCTTTATCTCTCTCTCTCGCGAGCCAATTAGGACGATTAGGATAATTAGCCGAATTAGCGGACAGACCTGTGCACCTGTGGCAGCACTCGTTGTCGGGCGGATCCAGCAACGTATAGCAGCCTTCGATGCTCGGGCACTGTTGCTTCACACATTCCACGAATCCGTTCTGGAAAAAAAGGAACGGCAGAAATGTTACTCCTCGCGTAGCTCTGTCGTGAAGGTAGGAATACCGGCTGTTTTCAGAAAATCTTCTCTCCGTTGCTCAACGACAAAAGCATACCGACCTCAGGGTCGACCGCTCCGTACGGAGAGAATTTCTATTCAGTTTGATCAAAATGTTTTTCTAGTGCGAGGAAGAGAAATATTTTGCCAAAGATACAATTTATCATTCGCCCGTGGAATATAATTCAAAGTCGCGTCACGTGAAACGACAAAGTCAAGGATGATGACTTGTCGAAATTACCAATTACTCGCAGGTTCTCGTCTCGAAGAGGCAATTTCGTCTCGGTGCGCGGACGTCGCGCGAGAGAAGAACATAGACGCGTTAAAATAAAACGCGTTATGAATCGGGAATTTTGTCGGCGACTGAGTCACACATGCCGCGTGTCGTCGAAATTCCGGCATGATTTTTCTCTCTTTTTCTCTTTTTATCGCGTCTTGTTCCGATTTCACTTCGTCCGCGTTATCGCGCGTTCCAGTAATTATTTCTCCGGTTCGTTATCTCTGGTTCTATAATTAAGTCCTTACAATTTATCTTCTGTCAGAATTATGTAAAGTAATTTAACGTGGGTCGCGCGCACGCCGGTCACGTATGTAGGGGGGGGAGGAGACGAACGTAATTAGGTATACCGCAAAAGGAAGTTTTCTGTTTTTAGGCCCGACGAGCATTTTTACGCAACGCCGAAAAATTAATTATTCTCGTAATTAATGATCGGGCAACGTACGATAAACTAAATACACTCACGCGTGTTAAAAAGCATACTTCTCCATTATTCGTGGTTGCTCTGTCATTTTTAATTATTCAATCAGAATTCTCTTGCAATCGCCTCGCGCGTGTCTTCTATTTTTACAATAACGTACAAATGAAATATCGCAAACTTCATTCCGGCTGTAGCAACGCGATAGGAATATTGCACGAGCATAAATGAAAGCGTCGGGAGTCCAGCTGGTGATCACAGGGCTCGCCCGGGCGACTTATGATCGCGTCTCGTAAATCGCGAATGATCGATCGAGGCCGATCGATCTCGTCGCAACAAACAAATAATTATGTCACACGCTGCCGCTGCCGCTCGTTGCAGCAACGGCGGGACGAAAACAAGAAGCCTCATCTCGGTCGGCCACGAGTCGACGAGTCAATGAACCAAACGCGCAGATAAATCGCCGCGGTCGCGCTAAGATCACTCGGTACGTTGAGAGATGCATCGAGGTTGCGGCGCGTCATAAGATGCAAGCGGACGCGCATATCTCTGTCTGCGACGAATCGATCGTTCGAAATGGAGATTCCTCCCTTTGACCTCCCGAACCAGGCCAGTTACTTTAACCCCTTTAACACCACATGGCGTATGCGATAACGACATAATCTCGCGAATTAGAAGACGGTCACGTAGCTTTCCCCTCCTCCATCGCGATTCTTTTTTTTCTCGTCTTGGCAGAACACCGCGATGCTCAGCTGGTCTTGTCGTCGCGCAGTTCTCGTCTTCGCGTTGTTCTCTCGAATTGAAACATTGTTACGCGATACCATGGGGTGCTCAAGTCTTTATCAAAGAATAGCGTTTAGTCTGTATAATAATGCGTGACAAATTTCTTTTTCACCATCTTATCATTATCTTAAAAGAAGTGTGTTAAAAAGCTACACTCCAAATTTTCCACATAACCACCTTAGAAATATTTTGTTTTCGTATCAAATGCGAGAGTAAGTTTCTTCGGCATTAAGTCCAGCTAATGGAATATAAATCTTTCAGATGCTTGAAAGCAGCACTTGCGGCTTGTCGTTTAAACCACACGCGGTTCACTTTCGACGGCACACAGATTCGCCGCGGTCTATGAATTCAAATTTGACGGAATTTAATTCTAAAGGTTAACAGCGTTCCACAGTTTTTACCTTACAAATGCAGTTGAAGCACCTCGTATTTGGGATTTTTTTGTCGACGGTGAAGTCTTCGCCCTCGACGTCACAGGTCTCTCTGCTTCCTGCAAATTTAGAGCAACAATCGTGATAAAAAGGACTCGATTGTAAAGAGTAACACGTCAATAAGCGTTGCAACGATAGAGATATTCATACTCTAGAGAGATTTCACGCGCGAATTGCATGATTTACTATTACTTTTCGAATCATATTCCCTGGATCCCTGTTCTTCTGATAATATTCATCGCGAGCGCTAAATCAACGCATCTCGAATTACGAGCAAATTATGCCGTTTTCACTGTATTTGAATCACGTTTGAATCAAGTTCCAGCGGAATTTCATGTCACACGCCCGCGTTTCACCCGGTACTCAACGATACCTCCAAAATGATCGTGCGAGGAACTTAGTATCTCATTTTTTCTGATAATTTGTCGTCATTTTAGCACAGAGAGATAGAGTTTCGTTCTCTCGCTTCCCACCCCTCCCCTTTACCCCTATTCCTGGCTATTATCATTCGATAAAAAATGAAACGCGATGTCATCGTTAACGTACCTTAGGACACACGCCAGTCGTAAGACCGTCCGTTTCCCGGCGGAAATCATGTCGCGCTCCGCTGCTAGGTCGACGAAGCCACCACCAACATCCCTCCCGGTTCCCTCGCGCACGTATTCCTGCACACTTTAAGCAACCTTTCTGTAAAACTGCGCAGCCTCTTCCGCGTCTCTCACTCTATTTATACTTTCGAGTCTCTCTCCTTCTCTCAGAATGGAATAAAATGTCGCTCCTGTCATTTCTTCTGCTTGTTATCTATCTCGTTTCTTTATTTCGCCCGTTGAGAAAGCGCTCTGTCACTGCTCTCAGAGATTTAACGCGTCGTACTTTCGAGGCGGCTTCATGATGTCCTATCACCGTCTCGCCGCGAAAATCTCGCGAGGATCGCGAGAGAGAAAGAGAGAATCAATCGCTCATTTCGCAGAGTAGTACTTCCTTTTGGGACAGAATGCTTTTTTATATCGCGCGTTTGAGAGCGCTAAACATACGGTCTATTCCTTTTAGCTGAGATATCTTGTCTAACTCATTGTTCGACAAAGCAGCTAAAAAGAACTAATCGTTTGACTCGACGAGTAATGCTCGTCACTCTTCTCGTCGCAAATATATCGAACGGCGATTGTCAAAGTGAAAGCGGTTAGTATTGTAACCGTCCGTGGATGACATCACACGAGAGCCCGCGAGAGTTACGCCGCAAAAGCGAGTGGCAGAGATCGCGCGATCGCTCGCTCGTTCGTTTGTTTTCGAGGTATCAATCGTCGTTACTTTCGCTAAGCTATTCGAAAAGCGTCGACGCATCGGTGTCAAAGTGCGCAGGAATGCATGTGCGAGGAAGGACGTGGCGTTCGCGACCGTTTAGAGCCTCAAAATTTTCGCCTCCCCTTTTTGCTTTCATTTATTCGTCCGCACATCTCTTTCTCCTCGTTCGTCTCACCCACGTGTAATCTCCACGGTGAGAAACCCGAAACAATTTCGCGCCGATCTCCTCACCTTTTATCGTACATCCCTCTATCTTTCTCTCTTCTCGCGCTCCTCGAGCTGGTTGAACGGTTAAAAACTCGGAGAGCAGTCTGAAAATGGGAGGTCCTCGTTCGCTCGTTCACCGTGTGTTGAGGTTACACGCGAGAATTTATACTCGCGGGATACACGAGTGCAGGATTAATTAGCGGATAAAACGAAGTCGCGCTAATCGGACGGCGCTAAGACGGACGGAAGCGTTCGACTCGCGCGCGAAGCGGCTGCGAGAGTAGCTGATTAACCTCGAGTGCACCAACCGAGGGGAATGTAATTTCCTGAAAGGCACGAACGGCGCGTCGAGGAGGAAGGAAGGAAGGAAGGAGCCGCGTCGACGGATAATTTCCGAGATGCAGTTAGCCGGCGTGGAAAGACGGATTTACGCATTCGTTGCATTCGGTATAAGTGGACATTCCGAGCTTGCCGACGAAGATTAGGCGCGCAAACATTCAGGGGACGAGCTTACCGGCCGGACTTTGTCGCGTGACCGGTGCTTCCCACGCGAATCGCAGGATTAAGTCGCCGATGATGTAACTTATCAGGGGATTGAAAAGTTTCTTTTCATCGCAAATTCTGTTCACGGGCATTGCACTTTCATCGTTTAATCGTCGTCAATTTTTCGAAAAGAATGACGCGTGAACGAATTTGCCTGGCGATTAGCAACGCTACGAGCCGCGATGACTCGCGCGCAAGATTCGACTCGGACTCGCAAATAGAACGGTAGATAATGGAGATAGACTAAGAATAGAGCGTTTAAAAGGCGTAAATGGAGCGTGACGGGCGAGCGCACCGCAAAGCAGCTGGAATCGGGAATTTGATCGCCGGCGCGTCCGCGAGATCGAAAGGCGGGAAATGCCTTTTCAGTCGCGTAAGTGACACCTAAGTATCACTCGAGACAACTATCGCGAGCTAACGGTGGTTCTACCTTTTCGCTTGACTCACAGCGGCTGACTATATCTGTCGCATCGTTCGCGCGAAAATATCTTTCTATTTCCGTATGAAACATTAGACAAGTGTCGGCAGAAATGAGAGAAGAGAAAAATGTCCCCTTAATAATGCAGTATCAATTAACTCGCAGACGTGGCGACGCGAACGAACGCGAGATAATGATGGCCACCTTTAACCTCTAGAAGTGTCGGGCCTACTAATCTATAACATCGTCTCGAACGGAATTTTTTCTCGTACACTTACGTATGATTTATTCGCGCGAAACTTGGTTCGAACGTTCGATAACGCGTCGATACGGGCCGATCGATGTTGGCACCATCCGATCGTTAGTCAGCTATCAAAATAACACAACCGCTCTCTCTCTCTCTCTCTCTCTCGCTACGCGTACTCACCTATTATACTTTCCGAGGCGTCGACGCAACGGCGTGCCGTCGAAAGGAAGGCCAGGGCCAAAGCCAAAGCCAACGGTATCGAAGGCAATCGTGTCAACTCCATGTTTAGATGTAATAGCACCGGCTCTCTCACGTCGCGACGATTTCCTGCAAAAAGCAAAAGGCGAGTTACGCGTCTTTTCAACCGCGAAATATCGAGAGAGAGACACTCGTAAGATATCGACAAATTGACATCGATTTAATCAGCACATGCGCACGCGCGAAATTCGATTCACTACGAAAATAAATGGCTCGCGATGCGTAGGAGGTGGACGAAAATATTCGAAAGTGCTGGATAGAGTTACAATAGATTCGCAAATCAAGCGATCTTGCCGTATTTTACTTGGATTTATGCGAAGTCGGGGTAATTTCGGGGAGACGAGGTCCGCGTCCACCATAACGTCAAGACACACGTGTCTTTTTGTTCGTTTCCAAGAGAGAGAGGGAAAGTTACGGTAGATTCGCAAGTGTCTGCGTTCTCGTCATTAGCATCGATACATAATAGACTGCCGCGCTTCCGCGATTTCCACAAGCTTAGCATAAATTTCCGCCGCGTCAAGCCGCGCGATTGCGCGAGTCTACCGCGGATTACTTAACCTTTTCTTGACCACACGCGCCCCACGTGTTTACACTTGAGAATCCGCACAATTGTTGCGTCGTTGTGCCGCGGTGGTTTGAGAGACGAAAGGGAAACGCTATAACGGAATATCTATCGACGAGTATTGTTCCCGCTTACCGATACATTATTCAACACTTTAAGCGCATAATCTCGAAACGAATCGGCTAAGCCTTAACGAGCTTCGTTCGCGCTTGATTAATGGGAAATCTAGGCGTTAGCGCGCCGTCGAGATCGCCGCGGGCCTCTGTCCTTAATCGATTACGAAGTTTGCACGTACCCTTTGTGTGCAACGCGAGCGCGTCGTTACACCCACGACGAAATGTCTCCGTGCCGACCGCAGTGACTCGACGGATCTATTAATACACACACGTGTGCCGTTGGAGAAAAGGCACGCGCCCGCGACTCGGCGTATCGATAGAAGCGTGAGAAAAAAAGAGATTTTCTCTCTTCTGGTCGACTCCGCGCGAACGAAACAACGCGAATAGATTGCGTCAAGCCGCGAAGATAAGTGTATTAATCACGGTTTTAGTTACTCGAGTCGTTAGTTTCGAAAGTCACGGGAATCGGACGTTTTACGATACGGTAATAAATGACGAGTGTCGGTGCGTGTGGGAAATATGAGTATATTAATTATACGTTTCACCTCTGCTCTCTCATTCTCGCGGCGCCGTTTCGTTGGAACCGAACTTTACGTCTCGGAATCGACACGATTCCTTATCTGGCGTCCTCTCGCGTCGCAATGACGTTGTCGAGAGAAAAAGCAACGACGGATTCCGAGATACGCGATGAGGATCGTCCGATAAATTTTCGCGCTCGCTGCTACGATTCAAGGGAGTTTTGCGTGCGCGTAACGACTCGTTTGCAATCATGCGAATTGTTTGCACAAGCGAGGCGCTCGCGCGACGCTTGTTTGCGAAAGGGGAAGGAGCTCTCTCTCCCTCGTGCAGGCAGTTTACACGCACACAGGCGATCTAATCCAAATCACAGGTGCTAGCGGTGTAATCGGACTGTTAACACCTCGTGTGATTAAAACCGTAAATTTCACCGCCCGAACTATTCAAAGCATGGCGGTAAATATTCGACCAGCGAATACTACTCGCATAAACTCAACATGAGATGGAAAATATATGAACGTTCAACTTGTGTATCTCGTAGGTTTCGCGCTATCGCTGCTCGTTTATTCGGGTTAGAGAAGTTAACGTTAGAAGTTTGATAGTTTGGTCGTAAATGTCAGAAACGCGAAGTAAAAATCGCCGGCAATTTTCTTTCTTGTATATTTTTCAACGTATAATACATTTCGTTGGAAACGCAGAAAGGTGAATTTATCGTGAACGACGCGGCTCACCCTAGAAAATAACAGGGAAAGACGTTGCGTTGAGAATGATTGAAATTACCAGTCGCGATCATCGGGACGTTGGATAAGGCACTGCTCGCGCACGCACAATCGGCGAGTATCTTGGCGTATCGTCGTGATCCGCGTCATAAAACATCGGCGTGGAAAATTTTGCCGGTGCGCGTGCACGAAAGTGTATTCACGGAGCGAGTAGTCGTAAGTGGAGCACAGCTCTATTACGGGGAGGGCGTGATTAATAAACACTCACGCAGGTGGCGGGGCTGAATCTTCCGCTGTGTAGCAGCGGCCCGTCGACAATTCACGCCGCTTGTCATTGATGTATTTAGCGCGGCGACACAATGTTGAGCAACATTTATCAGAGAGCGTCCGTACTATTTCGAGCGTTTATTCAGGAAGGAAGGAAACACAGCCGCCGCTTGTACTCACGCGCGCGCGTAATTATTTAAATAGAAATTATCACCGTGCGAATCACTTTTTACCGTAATCCGTTCCTGTCTTTCCCCGCGGAATCTCTCGATGCGTGTAATTTCCGCGCGAGATCGCCGTTTCAACGCGGAGCTTTCCTTCTACGCTCGACGGGTTTCAGTGATTTACGTTAGCAAAGGCGATAGTTTGAGCCTCGCATTGGTCTTCTTGGAGAGAAATATTTTGTACATTAGGTGTCTTTGTGAGTTTTCCATCTGCTTTTCAAGTTGGAGAAACCGGGTACTTTCTGAAATTTCTTCGTGTATATATTCCTTATCGGGTTTCCACGCATCTATCGATGCGCTTCCCGAGAGTCTGAAATTCACGTTGGCGAGATTTCGCGGTCGGGACGGCAGTTTTCGTCCCTCTTCGCGCGTACTATTTAACTATTAATAGTCATTACCACTTTCACTCAGTGCCGTTATTACCGTTCCTCCTCCTTTCCTTCACCGCCATCACCTCCCGGCGATCGTTCTCGTTTTACTCCGGACTTTAATTAGGATCCGTCATGACGCGACTCCAGCTGCTTCGAATACGTTTTTTCCGAGCGCATCGCTAATTCGCCGACTAAGCGTTCCGATCGAATCTCGACAGGCGGCGCCCCAAAGGGAAGCTCGTTGCACCATACCGCGGTAAATTAGATCGTGAGAGCACCGTAGGAATCCGAAGAGGCTAGACGATGGATCGCGCACAGTCCTCTCTCTCTCTCTCCCCGTTCCGATCCTCTTACGATAGTCGATTCAAAATTACGACGATGCGATGTATGTTTTTTTTTTACATAGATACACTAACGCGTTATTTTTCACGATTCTCTCAGTTCCGATTAATTTCCGCGATAATCTAACAACGTTTCGCTTGATACTTGCAGTAATATTCGTCGCGGTATCGCTGAAACGAGCAGAGGTATCGATACATGCTCTTCGAAGCGGTCTCGCTTTCCGCACCGATACACGTCTGTGACTAAATTATCCATCCGTCAGGTATGCGCCCCGTTATTGGTCGGCCGAGCTTGCGCGTGAGTAGACAAAATGTCAAGGTTTGATTTACGAGGCGGCCCGGTGCGCCAACTCCGAAGAAATTAAGCGGAGCGGCTTGATTAGCTCGGCTCGTCCGCCCGGGTGTCTCTACGAACATCTTCGAAAATTCGCCGATCCGAAACGCACGCGGAAAATCGTTCGGATTAGCGCGTACATTGCAGATTATGTGTGACGATACGAAACGTACAGTCCAATTTGTCTCTCTCGGTTTCACGAGCACAATCAATTTTCCCAGATAATTAACGTCGCGGAGTAATCGAAAGCCGGATGTTTTGCTGACGCAACGCGAGACTCGATTGGTCGCGGCGATTTGCATATTTCGCTTTTCAAGTGTTGGGTACCCACAATAATTACACTTATCGATACGCGATATCTCCTTTTTCCCCGGCCGATAGAGCGCTAATCGCAGTCTGAGCGTACGAATTCGATATATTTTCGTTACTGTACACGCGTGCGCTAAATTTAGAACGCACGCGAAACGCAAGGTATATAAGAGCCGCCTAATATCGCGCGCGGAACGTTAGTTGCGCTCTTTACTGCGCAACGCTCGGAAGAGGATCGCTCTTTTTCCTCTCCTGAGCCGTGTTTATGCGTCCTCCTCTCATGCTTCTCTCGCCGACCGATGCGCTCATTTGCGCAAGTGAGCGCGCGCGTGTAATGAAAAAAGAAAGAAAGGAAAGAAAAATCGCAGCGAGCGAGCGAGTCCGGTGCACGTGCAAGGGGAGGGAGGACGACGGCAGGCCGCTTTTACGAGAAGTGTATCGCGGTGGAAACACCTGCGCCTCACCGAGTTAAATGGATGTCGTGGATGATGTTATGATTCCGCTTGACAAACGTCCTTCTTTATCGAGAAAAGTATTTCGGCCGGCCGGTTAATTGACGATTTTCATTTTCAAGATTCTTCATAACGCTTTTGCGTTACTCGCGATCAGGCGGAGAAGACCGCGAGACTGTATTTTTTTTCGGCGCGAACTTTGGTATATTTTTACTACGGCTGTATATTTTCCTACGTGCGTGCCTCAGACTTTGTCGAGAAAGTTACGATTCGGTTACGACTCACCGCGGTCGCGAAATTGTTCGTAACTCTTAACGTGGCGCGAAGGGCGAGGAGAAAAAAAATGAATGGAAGGGAAAGAGCAGTGAGAAAAAGAAGGAATGGAGAAAGAGAGACGGAAATTGATACGTTCCCGTCTTGCGGTCCATTTATGTGTTGACATTCTCCGTAAAATGAAGGAGAGAAACGAAACTTTCGATTTTACATCCGTTTTTACGCAAGTTCCTCCAGTTTGAGCGAATTTTTCAGCACGTGCGCCGCCAAATCTTCTCCCGCGTTTTGAGAGTTCGTCGAGCACATACGTCCTTCTTACGTCCGTGTGCAATCTCCTACCACGAACCAAGGGAGAACACATTCAATGTCTCCAATTTTCCGCCTTGAGCCACTTCAATTGTGCAGCGCGAGCGGAGTAGCATCTCTCGCGCGAACGATTACATCGCGCGGCTTTTTCTCCGCGTTCGGATGAGCTCGCGAAGTTACGGGATTGAAAATAGAGACTGACGCGGACATTATTCACGTCGTGACTCTCAACGTCGACCGTGTTACGGCGGTTCGCCTTTTTCAGGTCGGCCCTTCCAACGATTCTCCTTGTACTTCATTATTTCGGCGACACTGATCATCAGTCAGGAGAAGGGATACGTCGCGTTCCGTTGTACACAATCTCGGAAAATTCTTGTCAAGGTATCCGTCGTTAAAGTTACCAACAACTCCACGCGGAAACTTGTGACTCTCACGCGATCCGAGTTATGCATTTTTCGACGCATTCCCTCCAAGTTCTTCCTATTCGCGGACCGAGCGAATTGGCGCGCGTAAGACGCAACCAGACGCGAGATTCCAATCGCGGGGTCAGCGTGCGCTCTTTTACCGCACAACGTGCGGCTTGTATCTCTCTTCTCGCGAGATTCAACCCGCCGTGCGATATATTTTCGGGCATTCCTTCGCGGGAAAGTTGTAATTTTTCTCCCGTTGTTCCGAGAAAAACGCCCGTCCGAACGAATTACAACTCTTAATTTAAGCGCGCTCGTACATACCGAAAGAGACGAAAAACAGAGCGTGAATTTGCAACGCGTAAGATTCAGAAGGCTCTGCTCGGTCCCGACAAATCATTCGTTTCGCGCGCTTTTCTTCATCACGATATTACGCTCGAAGGCGCAACTTGATCACGCGAGTCGTCGATGAGTGAAACTCTACATATTGCAGATGCGAACAATTTACTATTCCATTCATCTCGATAAAACGTTTGAGATTCCGCCGGAGTTATCTGCGTCGCGTCGACGTTCTTCTTTCCTCAATCAATTCGTCTTTTTCGTCGCGATATCACCTAGAATTCTTTTGCAAAAACTATTTCATAAAATTTCGAGTTCCTCTCACCAGCCAGTTGTACGTGACGCGTGTCGTGCAGTTGCAACTGCTTGAAGCGAGAATCCTGGGGCGTACTCAAGCGATCAAGTTGTTTTTCCAGCGAATCACCGTGAAAGTCCGTCGGACATTCGACGTAGCGAAAAAATCGCGGAACGAATCGTTCATTTTTCCGGCTCGCCTCTTTTTCGTCATGGTCTCGATCCGCCACTTGTTGCGTATGGGCTCTTCGAAGAAGGGCAAAAGCTCGTTTTCACGAGGTAGGTGAAAATGGGAGGAAACGAAAAACCAAGTTCCGTGGAGAGCGAACGATCGTTTGCACATTTTATTAACGCGATTAACGTCTGCCTGCGGTTAATGCTAGTATATATCGAAAGGGGTTATTTTTTTTTTTTAATGAAAGTATCAAGACAAGAGGGATCGATCCGACTTTCATCGTCTATTCTGTTCCGATCACATTAAATTAATTAAGCCGACGTTTAGCGCTTGGTAATTGCTTCTTGTTTAACAATAATATCGGCACGTTTTTCCACGGCGAAGAAAGAGGCGGGGGATGTAAGTCACGTAGTACGCGAACCAGTAATAATGAATTATCGCTGGCGCAGTAATAACCGCTTGTTCAACGGTAATTATCGGTCGGAGCGGCAGCGGTAATCGCTCATTTAGCAATCGTTTGTTGTAGGCTAATGTAATGCAACATTAAGTACGCAGTCGATCTTTATCGGCGGCGTTTACGATCTCTCGGACGGAATATGGGCGTTCCGCCCAGCCGATAAGACACATGTTTCGAATTTTCCGACGGTGGCCGCCGTCGCGGCGGCGTTTACGCGCTTGCCATAATTACCGATATTGTTACGCGACCGCCGTGTTTACGTGCGGATAATTGACGATTGATCGATATCGAGCGTCGCTCGCTACAACCATTCGCCAAAGATCGCAATCTTTTCCTTTGCAGATTCTTTCCTTGTTTTTCTCTTTTCCTCGAAGTCGAACATGGGCGTGGATTCGCGTGGAAACTAATGAAACTTGAAGCGCTCTCGACGGAGAGAGAGAGCCGTGCCGATGGAATAATCTCGTTCGGGGGGATTTCTGACTATTTTTCAAAGTCCGCGTCCGCCTGTGGACGGTCGAGAGTCATTAAGACGGCCTTTTTCGAAGACGTCCTTTCGCGCGCTCCGGGCGTAATAATTTATGCACACAGAAACGTTCCGAACCGCTCTCGGCGAGCCAATATTGAAATTTCAATGTTTGAGCCGTTCGAGTGCCCGGGACGACGGTTTTATGCCGCTCGTCGATGTCACTTTTTGCGAAGAACGCGCGGTGCTATCCTCACCGCCTATGGGCATATATAATAACGGCTTGATTTAGGATCGCGTATCTACAATTTCGACTTCCTCGGACGTGTGTCGTCAAGCCGTGTTTTCGTGTATTTCGAGCCGAAGGAATGTTTACACCTCGTCACGGACGCTCGAATTAAATCAGCTTTTTTTCCACTCGCATTGTCCACGTAACAATATGACATCATGATATTATAATAAAATTTCGCCCGAGCGTAGGCAGGAATTCCAAAACCGGTATGATCCCGACGCATTCAATTTTGCCGACCCTCGCGTCTGAGAGGAAAAATATCTCGCGGCTATCGCGCTTTGATCAGGGGTCAGTGGAATTATTAAATTGCGAATTCCTACAATAAGATAACAAGCTCGAATATTCAGTCTGGCGAATCAATTTTGAATTCAATCGACACATCGGAGGTGCGTCGCGGCGAACGTATAATACGCTATGAAAAAAGAACTCCGTCAGGCGACGATACAAAAGGCGCGCGATAATTCCGATCTGCTCCTCCTCCGCATTAATACCCGGGATTCTCACGTTGCCACCTGCCATGCCCTCGCCGCGAACGAAGCGTCGTCGAGAAACTCGCGCGGCCGACGTGGTTTTCGCAATCGCATAATCGCGCAGCGTGCTCGTTCGTTCGCTCGCTCGTCGGAATTTTTCCTTGACTCCTCGCGCTCCGAGCGCG